AAAATTTCAGATATAATTGAAATCTGTAATGTTTTTTTATTAACAATATGTGATATACTTTTTCTATCATATCAATATTAAATGAATGAATAGATTTTTATGTATGAATTCTATTTATTAAAAATATACATTTACAATTTAATGTAAGATAAAACCTATTAATGTTACAATTTTAATATATAATATTAAAAACTATAATAATAATAATAAAAAAAACTAAAACTAGAAACTTAATTATCATATAGTCCTACTCCCCGCGGTATCGTGTCAAAAACGCTGGCTGCGTTTCCTCGCTGAATGGCTATACTTAGCCTTTGAGCGAGAAAAGAACCAGCCCTCTTATCACCAGCAGCAACGATCAGCCGCGGATGGAGTTCCTTTAAGAACTTCACCGCACGTAGATCCCACGGACCGATAGTCTCTACAGCAAATGGCACAAATATGTAGTCATCTCTCAGAGACTCATATTTGCGCCACTTACTCAGTTCAGCTGCTTCTGTTTAAAAATATTAAATTAATTAATTAATTTTAAATTCTATTTAATATTAATCAATATTGTTTGACAAACATATTGGAAAATAAAAACAATAGTTTCTAAATATAAAATAAGAACTTACGTTTTTTTTTGAGTAAGTAAATTTGTCAATATATTAATAAAAAATAGAGATTTGCAAAACGGAATTCTACCTTACGCGTGTCCCAACAAAAATGTCAATGTCTGATTTTTTATTTCTTTGTTTCAACTACGCTATATTATAAAATGTATAGGCTTACCAGTGCGTACAAAGCGCTTGCATATGCAGCATGTTTTACATGCAATGTTCGACAGCATAACAGGGATGCATCTTGTTCGTGCCCTGTCCACGCCTTCATCTAGAGGAATAAAACATTATATTTTTATCAAATAAAATATCTTATGTTGTGAGTACTATTTTTTTTAATAATAATACACAAAGTAAGCTCACAACATTGAGCGTCTTTAAATACAAGCAAATATCAATATTTTTATTGAATGGATAACTTTTACACATATGTAAATACTTTTTATAGTACTTATTAGTTTGCCGTAGCTAACTTTATATAGGTATCTCACTATTCACTCGCTACAGCTTTAAAAGACAAATTGGAAAATTAAAATCAATTAATTATTTATAAGAAGAAATATCTCCTTACAACTTCGATTTAATTGGAAATTTTAATCTATTTTTAAAAGCCGATATTATACTGGTAATAATTTGAAAACGCACCTTTTTTCTAAAATTTTCTTTTAAATAAAATTATATCGCATTACAAGCGATCGTCACATCACATAACATTTGTTTACTTTTTATATCGTAAGCTCCGTCGTACTCACAAAGAGACGTGAATCCACTAGCGGAGTCGCGCGCTAACTGACTGAGACTGACACAAAGCTTTTAATGCCACATCGTGCTAACTCCAACTTTATATTTAAGTGCAACTACTTATATAAACTGAAATAGCTTTCATTTGAAATATAAAAGAAATTCTTTCTTTTTGGACCATTGTTAGGGCCTTATTTCTCATAAAATAAAAATAAAAATGGCATAGCAACAAACGATCCCATAACATCATGACCTGTGATAATACGCTTCAGAATATTATTTTCCACGTGGTAGAGCCATGCTGCAGCTATATTAATAGTACAGTTGTAGCATGAATGGGTCGGCTCGACCGGGGAAGGACCAGGCTCTCACAGGATACCAGCGTAAAATAGCAGCTTAATGCTGTTGTGTTTCGTATGGTGAGTGTAGAGAACCGCAGACCCTTTTTACTGGAAAAGAGGCATTCAATCTTAGTCCTCACGGCTGACAACGCATCTGCATTTTAATTCGCAAACGAAGATAGATGTAGATGTCTATGGACCGCAGCAACCACTTACCGTCAGCTGGACTGTGTGCTCGTTTGTCATCCTTATTCTATAAAAAAAAAATATTAAATTACAAGATCGTTTCCCAGATGAGCCTGCCGAGGATACGACTGTAATTTTTCGACAAAAACGATTATCAACCTAATGGTACGTAGTACTATTATTTATTCTGAGCTAATGGTAAAAATGAAATTTGAAAAATTATAACATCTTATGCATTAAAGTTTAATAACTGATAAAGATTTTTAACGGTTGTTACTGCCTCCAGTCTAATATATGCTCTTATTTCTTAGTACCTCGGGATGTTTTCTTTCTCTGCCCTGCGATCTCGGCCCGCTATAACGGCTCATACTATAAACGTGCAATGAATATATTAGACACATAAAAACACTACAATCACTCACTATCACCTCCACTAGAACATAGCAACAATGTATCATAACATTATACAACGTGTATAGTGACCACGGGGATGCCATTCAAATTACGATTAAGACGCTCTTTCTATTCACTTTCCGCCGGCACTAATAAAACTGTTAATTGCAATTTTAAAGTTCTGATTTGCCATGTACTCGGCGATGAAAGGAACCATCGTGACTGAAAACGTACATGTTTGAGAAATCAAAATATTTCGAGAATATGTGGATTTCGCCAAAACGTATTGGAGCAGTGCGGCGGACTATCTCCTACCTCTCAGTCAATGTACGTAGTCACTACTACACCCCACTAGAACATATCATACGCAAATAATTGCTTAGTTACCATATCATGTAGAAAGAATGAATAAAGAAAGAGTGACAAAGCAAATTTATGCTGCAGAGGTAAACGAGAGAGTCGGGAAGGGACGCCCTAGGCGAAAGTTTATCGACCAAATTGGCGATATATTGAAAATAAGCCAAATTCAAAATTCAAATTCAAATCCAAAAAATCCATAGTATCCGCTTACCCCTGGTTGACAGGCGTGAGTATTTATTTATATTTTACCATATCATTCCCGTTCAATATATGACTATGACGCTCTCTCTATCGGTCGTAGCATATTTTTTCAGAAGGTCGCATCATGATGAGCTATTTATTTATTTATTTACACTTTATTGTACACCTTAATAAAAGGATTATAAAGAGCGGACTTAATGCCTTTTGGCATTCTCTCCCAGTCAACCCGGGACGTGTGGAAAATAATGTGATAGGTGCCAAATAAGAATGAAAATATCTATAAATTATATATATTATTAACATAAATACAATAAAGTAATCTATACAAATATATAAAATTGAAATGTCCGTTTGTAATGTCAAAATTACAGCTTTATACTCAATTCAAATGAAAGTATATACGGTACTTACAACAAAAATACAATTAAAAAAATTTTGTCTGTCTGTCTGTTTGTTCCGGCTAATCTCCGAAACGGTTCGACCGATTTTGACAAGACTTTCACTGGCAGATAGCTGATGGCATTAGGAGTAACTTAGGCTATTTTTATTTTAGAAAAGGAATTGGGGTTCTTTGCAAAAAATTAAAACCTTAAATTATACGCGGGCGAAGTCGTGGAGAACAGCTAGTATACTATAAAATTTGCAACACACACACACACACTCATTGGCCATACTAACTACCATATGTTAACTTCATAAATTTTTTACGTACAAATCTTTTAAATGCAGTGTTACTGGATATTTTTCTAACGTCTTCGCTAAGAGTATTTTATTTTTAAATACCCATAGGTTCTTTGGCTATGAAAAAATTATCTGTAAGAGAACTAGCAATGATTGCTATAATTTTGGGCAACGGTGAGAAGATACAGTTACAAAGCCTTGAGCGGTTGGGTAGAGCTCCCAGTAACATTGCGTGCTATGTACCGATTCATTGAGTGCCATGTACCGATCGTATATCCCATATTTGCGAACGTTGAACCTTGAATATTTTTTTTGCAGATGTACGATCGATGAAGGCTTTTCACATTTCACTTGTAATGGTGTTCCTAGCATTTTAATGCCACATCGTGCATTTAAGCATTCGTACCAATTTTTAGCTTTATGTGAATTATTATAACCTTACCCCTATTTTTTGAGCTAACTTGACCGGACTAAAATTTCCAAGAAGTTATATTATGTAAGTAAATATTTTATTAACGTTGTCTGCCCTTTCTGTAGATAACGCCAAAAATGTTATAAGCAATATGTAAATGAATGAATTATATTGATTACAATTACTTAATTTTGTTGATTTGTTTTCTATTTGTTTGAAAGACATTTCAAGATCTTAGAATTTTCTTACGCAAGCCCTGGTGGGGAAAAGTGGACGAGGTTTATTAAACCAGTGTACTCAGTGGGGCATTTGGTGGGAAAAGGTGGAATAAATGGCACCTGCCAAATATTCTCGTCATGAATTTGCTGTCGGTCCGATCATGGCACGCCATATTTTTGGTCGGTGGTAGAATCTTGTAGTTGACGTAATAACATATTAATTTATGAACAAAAATATTTTTACATGTTATATAAAAATTATTCAAGAATTTCGGTCACGGCGGCCAGTCTAGACTATAAATATACGTATGAAACAGTAATCTGAGGTATTTCCAAAGATATAGTTGAAGAGATAGTTGGTATCTTCAGGGGCCAGAACCCAGAATTGAAAGAGGCTTTTACTGAGGAGGATGACATGCGTCTGCGTTTTAGGCGTAGTAACAAAAACCTGGAGCTATACAATGCAATGTTTCTTGTGGCACCCAAACTCTTCCATAAACTTATGGAACAGTGCAAAATTAACGTCGATTACCAGCGACTGCACGTCAGCGAATTCTCACCCTTTCCACAGTGCCACAGATGTCTGCAGTTTGGGCTCGCACTACTCCAGCAAAGAGCACACGAGGGATAAATGCCCTGATAAGGATAAACAAGGCACAGTTAAATGTGCCAATTGTGCATCTCACAATGATAAATTCGGAACCAAGGCTCATGTCCGCCACTCTGCCATGTCACCAGAATGTCAAAACTGAGAGCCATGAGAGAAAGAATAAATAACAGAATTGACTATGGATTTAATCAATAAAAATATACAGTGTAATATTGACCTCTCAAAAAAGAGTTTACACGAATTTATAATTTTTTCATGGCAGGTGATTATCAAATTGCATTGCTGGCGGAACCATATGTTGGATCAAGTAATGAGGTGCAACCAACTCAGGGCCTCAAAATATACCAATTTAGTCAAAAAGGCAGAGTCAAGGCTTATATACACACCAAACCAGGTTGTGGCCAGGTACTAGGTATATCACAATACATCAACACAAATTTTTGCGTTATTCAATTCACGAGTGGCGGCCAAAAGTGCTCATAGCTTCGCATATATTGAGCCGGATTCTGACGGAAATAATACTTTAGAGCACATAGATAATTTTCTCAAAACCTCCCGATCCCCTAATACCATTGTAGGTGGTGACGTCAATGGATGGCATTACATATGGGGCAGTAAGACAAACAACCCCAGAGGATGTGCGGTAGTGGAGCTGGCATATGCAAATGACTTCTTCATCTGCAATGTTGGCACCTCACTCACTTTTGAAACCGTCACACACGGCAGGGATCGAACTTCTATAATAGACCTCACTTTGGCCCATGGATACATATATGACCGTATAGTCGGGTGGAAGCTGAACCTCAGCTCCTGCTCCTCGTTGATACACAATGCTGTGGAGATTGAAACTGGGAATTCTTTCTCAAATTCGTCATCAATAAGATACTCCACATTTCAATATAATAGCGACAAGGCTAATTGCGGAATATTCAAAGACGCACTTCACACGCTTATGAACAACACAGACATATTAGAGAGAGACATCGGATCACTTAATACAGCTGGCTTGGAAAACTTGATTGATGACATCTGCGGGGTAATTCATAGAGCGTGTGAAGAATCTATGCCGGCAAAGAAAGGCCGATCCCTGACAAAGCATCGCCCGCTATGTTGGACGGGAAGATCGACGGACCTCAAAAAGGAGGTCATCCTGTTAAACCACAGACTCAACCGAATGAGACGTCAGAATCTTCCACTAGACCAATTGGCAGAGGAACTAAGAAACAAAAAAGCAATATATGCGGAAGAACTGAACAGCTGTGGAAGGGAGCGGAAGTCAAGTTCATAACAAAGCCAAACAAGACTGATTAGAGCGAATCGGGCTCTTTCCGACCAATAGGGCTCTTGCCGGTCTTTGGAAAGTTTCTCGAGAAATTGTACATCAAGCGGGTCACGTATTGTGCAACTAAGGCGGGACTACTCAACAGGCGTCAGTTCGGATTCAAGGAACAGACCAGCATGACTGCAACCATAGACACGACGCTTAGTATCGTAAAAGCAGCTAAGAAGAAAGGTAAAGAGGGGCTAAGCATCCACTCCGCGTTTGACAACGCGTGGTGGCCCGCACTATTTGAGAGATTACGTGCAATACGATGCCCTAAGAACATCTATCATTTCATAGAGAGCTATATGACGAACCGCACAGTTACATTAGAATACGCAGAAGCGCGGGTCACTAAGCGCAACACTAAGGGCTGCATCTAAGTGTCGGCATGTGGACCCATTCTATAGAACGTGGTTCTGGATGAGTTGTTTTAGGCTGAACTTCCAAAAGGATGTCATTTGCAAGCCTTTGCGGATGACGTCTTACTTATCGTCTCCGCAAAGGGTGTAAATACTTTACAAACAAACACCAACCGTGCTTTGCAAATCATCTTGGAATGGGAGGAAAGAGTCAAATTGACCTTCGAACCCACTAAGACGCCTACTAAGAAGCCTACCTTATAATGGGGAGACACACTTTAGCATTTCAAAGGAGCATTAATTTCTTAGGTGTAATCATCGACCGGAAGCTCCTTTTCGCTGATCCTGTTAAGTATATTGTCGGAAAGGCGATGAGAATTTTCAAAAAACTATGCATTTACACCCGATCAACCTGGGGAGCCCATCGTGATAACGTACAAACTATCTATCGACAGATTATTGATCCTACAATTACATACGCGGCAGGCATCTAGGGTCAAGCAGTGAAAAAACGATAGGTAAGAAAGCTTTTGGAGTCGACACAAAGGAGATTTGCGATAAAGGCAATCAGGGCTTTTGGACTGTATCAACTGTGGCGGCAGTCGCTCTGGCTCAATCCGTGCCCTTGGACCTCAGAGACCTTGAGGTACATGAAGTTGAGACAGTTCGACCGCAGGGTGCCACCAACTTATTACCAAGGGATGTACAATATGAAAGGCGTGCATGAGCTATTACATCCTTCAAAGAGGGTAAGCATTGATTGTGCAGACCAGACATCAGAGGATCAAGAACAAGAGACATCCCTTATTCGAATTTATACAGATGGAAGCAAGCTTGAGGATGGTAATGTAGAAGCAGCTTTCATCTGCTTCGAAGGCTCAAAGAAATACACAAAAAGAGGCTGAAACTAGACACAAGCTGCTCTGTATTTCAAGCGGAACTCTTAGAGATCAAAGAGGCCTGCGAGTGGACTTTGGACCGGAGATTGAATCAAGGAAATGAAACGCACCGAAGAGACAAAATGATTCACACATGTCGAAAGGAGGTTATTCAGATCTTGAGTGACTCTCAGGCTGCATTGAGCGCACTCCAAATGAGATCCAACAGTCACCCCATTGTGGCCAAGACTGACGATATAATATACACAGCGGCTCACCAGTTAGTTTGGCGTTGGTTAGTTGGCGCTCACCACAAACGGAGTTGGCTTGTGTGGGGCCGTGTGCCTCCTCCACTTTTTTTTAAATATACGAGAACAAAGCCAATTTATAAGTGCGAAGGCATTAATTATAAGGAATTGATTGTTCTAAACCTGATACAAGTGGAACAGCCGCGGTCACTTGGAAAGGAATGCCAAATTGGCCTCCAAAAAGCTTAACGAGTTTTGTACAGCGGGACAGTATTTCATGCCGACACAACGCACAAGGCTTTACAAGGCACAAGTTCGGCCTCACATGGAATAATGTTCTCATCTCTGGGCCCGGGCTCTCCAGTTCCAGGTCCTTCTACTTGATTGCAGTATTTACTTGTTTGAATCGTCGATGACCGAGTTCTTACTGATCGACATGATATGCAATATATCTTCGAAAGGCCAGTACGGCCTTTCGAAGATATATTGCGTATCTTTGCATATTCTATCGTATCTACCACGGACCGTGCTGAGAAGAATTGTTCCGACTAATTCCACCATTTCACATCGAGTCAAAATTCACGTTACTATCCACATCATTTGGATGGTATGTAATCTACTACAGTATGATTTACTAGGAGCTTTGTTACTCCAACAACTTCATTGTTCACCATCGACGAGTTTTCCGAACTGACACTTACTCCTTTTCCGGCAATGCATTTGCAATTCCCCTAGTGTTGCAGTTGTTCATAAGCGGCGGTTGACGCTTATCAGGTGCGTCGCATGCTCGTTCCCCCCCCCCCCTCGATAAATCTTCGTAAGATGTCTCTTAATCCATTAAACCAATTTTGATTGCTTGGTTGGTCTACGCGAAGTAATTGTAAGCGCGACTACTAATCATGTGATCCCATCGACGTCGATCGTTTATTAAATTATCTGACAAGAAATTTTCAGTAGGTGCCCGGAGTAAGAAAGTTTTTTTACACCCGTGCCTGGGAAAGCACGCAAAGCCGTTGGTAATAAAGGCAGCAGTCGCAAGCTCTGCCTGATGTCTCTTCGGTCGGTTGTCGAATTGCCGTCCAATCGCACTAAGAGAGTGAGGGAATAGAAATTGCACAAACTCGTGCACTAATCATTTCCTGCACAGATTTATAGTCTCCGTAAGGCTGGCGGCCGTGACCAAAATAATCTCCGTGTTTTGCCATCGTCAACGAAAATTTGACTGTAATTCATTAATTTCAATATTTTTCATTAAATTCAATATCTTTAATTGTTAATAACAAAGCTATAAATTTTATAGATATCGTTTTCAGTATGTACATAGACGTGTAATATTTAAAGTGAATTACACCTTGTAAGGAGCTGGCGGCGTCCAGGTTACAAATCTCCTTAGATTAATTAACTGATGCGACACTCTTCAGCGTTTTAATTAGAATTTACTGTGATGTTAACTTAGGTAATTTCGCCGTACTGGGTATTTTTGAGTGAATGTATTTATTTTATAACCTTCTTTTATTTTTTATTTTTACTTACTTTTATAATAAAATATACTTTTTATCCAATTCATTAATTACAGCTTATTAAAGATTCACTGCTAAACATAGGTATCGTCTATAGATTTCCCTACAGGGAAATTATATAATTATTTGCCATAGTTCTAGCAACTATGGCAAATTATTATCTCTTATAAATAGCTCTTTCCTCTGCCATCTCTTATGACACCCACGGGATGACGAGATTCTTCGACGCCGACACTACACCGCCGAAAGCATTTTATAGCACGTTGAAATAAAGGTTATTTCTAATCACTGGTGTAAATCACCGACCTGTAGTAATTTAGGGTCTAAGGGACTAAGTATTCGCTCTAAACTTCACAGTACAATTCGATCAGTGTTCGATTTTCGCTGACAACAATGAAATTATTAATTCATAAATATAAATAAAAACATCGACATAAATAAATATATGTCGCAGCTAACTAGTTTAATTAGCCTTTCATTTAATAGCCTAGCCTTTTTACTAAACGGCACCGTTCAACTAGCAGACTGAATGATAATCGTAATTTAGCAATCTCGTTTAATAAAATTAATATTTGACCATGTCATGTAATTCTGTCTTTTTGTTTGTTTAAACACGCTTATATCTAAAACTATCGGTCTCATTTGAAAAAATCTTTTTTTTTTAATATTATAGTCATATTAATGAGGAATAGTATAGGTTATCTACCACTAGGCTACACCTCTCAACTAGGCTTTAATATTGATTTTCGTTAAGCAAGTCAGAACAAAATGCGCTCCCGAACTGCTTTATCCGCGTGCACTAGCGTAAAGGTTAGTCATACGTAAATAAAATGTCTCCACCTAAAAAAAGTCTGCGATACTTTATGCCTATTTCTTATACTTACGCCACAATAACTTATTTTGTGACAAAAAAATATTGTAAATTAAAAAGTGATTTATGAGCGTTATTATTAGGCATGACATATTATTCCTTACGAAGGAAAGTTACTCCATCATCAAGACAATTTTATGAAGATAATCTTTGCTCTTTATGGCATGTTATTAAGACGCATAGTTTAAGAGATAATGAAAATTTTTCGTTTCAAAATGAGGTTCCTGAGGCTGGAAAAGAAACACCGGAAGAAACTCCGCAGGTTTTTTTTGCAATTTTTTTAAAGATAAATAATCAAATAATATTCTTATACAAAGTTGAAAATGAATAAATCTATAGGCAAACAAAACATAAATGCAAGTCTATATGTTTAAAAAATAAATATTTTGAGAATATGTGGATTCCGCCAACTCACACTGGAGCGATGCGGCGGACTAACTCCATAAGCCTCTCAGTAATGAGGAAAGGCCATTATGCGACGTATAATATAGGCTGAAACTTTATGTTAATCTATGCGCATAATGCAATTTATTGTAACGTTTCTGCATTTAGATGCTTAATCTAGGGAAAATGCAGGTATGCGGTTCCCAGCATCTATTTGTTTGCCATCAGTTCTACTGTGTGCTGGTTTGTCAATCAAATAAAAAAATGGATTATATGCTGGTACAATTTGGCGGCTCGGTAGCACAACAGCCAAGCATTTGACTGCGGAACCGCTGGACAAGTATGTCCTACAAATATTTATTCGATGTTATTAAAAATAAAAGTAATTGTATTTTTTTAATTTAATTTATTTTTATGTAATTATTGTGTAATGTTGCGTTCTTCGTCTTTTGAAGTAGAGTTAAAAGGATAATGCCAAATCGTACCCCAACTTGTACAAAAGAGGTAAAAATATGAAAAATAATCTTATGAATTTTGAAGTTTTTTGTGATAAGTCGTTATTTTGTACAACTTGCGGTAAAATATTATTTAAGAAAAAGGAATTCAACGATTAATATTTACATTTCCAGTCTTTTCTAATAAAATCTGCGTTTCTGTATACGAATAAGTAAATACGTACGCATAAATTATCAAACAATACATAT